GCAGCCACTTTATCTGCCAACTTGAACACAGCTGCTGTTCTCCCCTGAGGTGACAGATTGAATATGTCACACAGCAAGCAAGTTTTTTTTTTTTTTTGAGACAGAGGCTCCCTTGCTCAGGCTGGAGTGCAGTGGGACGATCTTGGCTCATTGCAACCTCTGCTTTCCAGGCTCAAGAGATTCTCATGCCTCAGCCTCCCGAGTAGCTGGGATTATAGGTGTGCGCCAGCACGCCTAAGTAATTTTTGTATTTTTTAGTAAAGACGGGGTTTCTCCCTGTTGGCCAGGCTGGTCTTGAACTCCTGGCCTCAAGTGATCCTCCTAGCTTGGCCTCCCAAAGTGCTGGAATTACAGGCGTGAGCCACTATGCCTGGCCAAGTACGCAAGTTTTGCGACCCATTCTGTGTCAATGAAATGTGCTACCAGCGGTAACTGTTTTTCTAAAAGAAATCTCTGGGATGCCTATCGTAACTCTGGCCAGTGATCTACCTTTAGGAAGCCATCTTTCTTCTGTGTATAAGACGCTGTGTGCTCTTCTCTTGGCAACTCCTACTTTGACTCCTCACAGAGTTGCACAAACAGACATGAATTAAGGGCATGTACCTTAATGTGGTTGAAAATTTTAATCACATCCTGCAAAATGTTAGTTCAGGAGGCTTTTTTTTTTTTTTTGAGACTGAATCTTGCTCTGTCACCAGGCTATAGTGCAGTGGCACAATCTTGGCTCACTACAACCTCTGCCATCATGCCCAACTACTTTTTGTATTTTAAATAGAGATAGGGTTTCACCATGTTGGCCAGGATGGTCTTGATCTCTTGACCTCATAATCTGCCCGCCTTGGCTTCCCAAAGTGCTGGGATTACAGGCATGACAGGTGGCATTTTTCAACTATCCAGCATCTCTATGGATGACACAGTGCACAGACTCCCATTCAGAAGCAAGCTCTTTGACCTGAGTAGCGAAACCAGAAAGTCATGGCAGCTGCTCCAGCCCTGCATGTATTGATAAAAAATGACCAATTCAGCTTTCCTGATATGTAATTATTTAAAGACTTGAATAGTTCTGCAGCTGTGGTGTTGGTAGAAAGCAAAAGTGCACATAGCATATCCTCATGCACATCCTCCTGAAAAACATATCACACAAAAACAAGCATTGTTGCCTTGTCAACACTGGTAGATTTGTTAACCTGGATTGCACACCACAGTGACTCATTAACCCTCTCTAACAATTGTGCCTCAGTATACTCTATTTCATCAGTTCATCTACTTATGGTGCTAGCCAGAAGAACATGTGCCATCTTTTGAATTGCAGTCTCTCCTAAATGTTCACAACAAATGTCCTTAGCGGCAGGTAGGATCAACTCTTCGCCAGTAGTAAAGGCCTGCCTTAGCTTTAGCAATGTGGTCAGCCACTAAGAATGATGCTCTCAGTGCAGACACATTTGATGAAGTGGTGGCTTTCAATAATTGCTTCTGTTCCTTACGTTCACGATTTTTCTTTCAAAAAACTCCAAAGGTTTGCCTTTTAATGCAGGCTGTTTGGTTTCCATGTGGTGAAGCACTTTTAAAGATTTCATGGCTTTCCTGGATAGCTGGTCATCACATATAGACAAAGCAGGTTTGGAGAATATGAATCACCTGTTGCAATGAACCTGTAATTTGTGTAGGATGCTTGGTATTTTCTTTTAAATGCAGCTTTCTTTGCTGGCAGTCTTAGAGTCTTCTGCTGTCTCATCATTAGATCTTTCCCCCTTTTCAAAGAAGCTCTCCAAGGACTTTTTTTTTTTTTTAATTCATCTTGGCTAGGGATAGCTTGTGGGCTTACCAAAACTGTGACTGAGACAAGTGCACAGTGCAGGAAAGAGGCACGGATGTTAAGCGGTAAATAAAATAATGGGCAGGCCACATGCAGACTAAATGTCAGGTTCTGACTTAAAGCCTGCCACCAGATGCAGTTAATTGTAACTTGCTACTCACTCTGATATGAGTCTGCAGGCAGTTGATTTATGGTCTCTGTGCAGTCAAGCCTCTCTGCTAATGTTAATCTGTTTTTGCAGCCACTCTCCAACACCATCTCAGATCATCAGGCATTAGATTCTCGTAAGGAGGCACAACCTAGATCCCTGGCTTGCACAGTTCACAACAGGATTCATGTTCCTATGAGAATTAAATGCTGCCAATGATCTGACAGGAGGTGTGGCTCAGGTGGTAATACAAGCCATTGGGAGCAGCTGTAAATACAGATAAATCTTCTCTGACTTGCCTGCTGCTCACCTCCTGCTGTGTGGCCCAGCTCCTAACAGACCAGGGATGGGTACCAGAGGTTGGCAACTCCTGCTTTAAAGCTTTAAAGTTTTAAAAGAGTAAATGTGGCAGTTGAAATATTTTTCCATTCTGCAAAGTTCAGGGATTGTTTTTTGCCTTATGCACCAATACAAATTAATTTGAAGTAACTGTTTAATACCAGAAAAATAAAAGATCTATTAATTTCTAAAATGTGCTACATATGCTACAGGTTACCATAATTTAAATAACTTAAAGTTTTGTTAAACATAATCTAGGTTACTGTGCCTTTTATTAATATATGCGTTTTGTTAATAATGTCCAAGATCAGGGTCAGTTTTAAATAGGCAAAAATTTCACTTTTCAGCACACCAAATATCCAAATTCATTTTCAATTTTATTTTAAAATGTTCTTCCCTAAAATTATTTTTAAAGCTTATTTCTTCATGGTCTGCAACTAGTTTATATTCTTCAAAGATTTTAGGAAAAAATTTAGTGAATAGACAAAACCAGAATATACCAACCCCATGACATTATATGCTAATATACAAAGAAAAAAATTCTGTATCTACCAGAGTTAACAAGATGAGGCATAAAACCTCACTACAATTAAAATATATGTTCTGAATCAGTAAAAATGGAGACAGAAAAAGGTTTCTGGTTAGAATATCATGACATATACTCTCTCATATTTTAAAAATAAAAGTACATGATAATTGATACTTTATATATGTAACATGTTTACCTATTATACATTACTAATTTTTTTTTTTTTTGAGACAGAGTTGCACTCTGTTACTCAGGCTGGAGTGCAATGGCACAATCTTGGCTCACTGCAACCTCCACCTCTTGGGTTCAGGCAATTCTCATGCCTCAGCTTCCCAAATTGCTGGGATTACAGGCATGAGCCACCACGCCCAGCATTTTTTTTGTCTTTTTTTTTTTTTTAATTTTAAGAGATGGGTCTTGCTCTGAAGCCCAGATTGGAATGCAGTGGTGTAATCTTGGTGTCACTGCAGCCTCAAACTCCTGGGCTTAAGTGACCCTCCCGCTCTAACCTCCCAAATAACTGTGATTACAGGCATAAGCCACTTGCACCCAGCTGCAATTCTAATATTTTAATAATTTACACAATTATATGCCAAGTAGAATATCCTGAAACATGAACACATACATCATATTCTGAATTTAGCACTTCTATTTTAATTATATTTTACTTTCTTACCTGTTCGGAAGTGAGATGTTGATTTGTGATCTCCTATAACAAGACGACCAGTATGTTCTTTCTATAAGAAGGTTGAAAATGTCTTAGCATTTGAGACCACTAATTTAATCTTATTGGGTATCTACTATGTGCTGAAAACTATTCTAGGCTTCTGGGATACAGTGACGAAAAAAGACCATTAGATCTCTGCCTCTAAGGAGATTACATTCTAGCAAGGGTAGGAAATGGGGAAGGAAGACAGGCAAACATGATCATTATTTATACTATGTTAGAAGGTACTAAGTGCCATTAGAACAAAACAGACCTAAATAAGGGGTAGAGCAGATTGAAATTTTAAACAAGATGAATAGATAGCTAGAAAATTGAGTCAATCTAAACATTTTCTTTCCTAAAGGCCAGTTAAATGAGTTGCTTTAACTTCCCACCTGCTCTTTCTGCTGCCTGAAGTATATCTCATGGACAGAAAGCAAATGAGATTTAGCCAGACAAAAGTGAAAAAATTAAAACTTATAATGTATCATATAAAGTGACAGATCTTATTACAGCATATCATAATCATTAGCTATTTCATTACTATTTGACTAAAATAAACTCCTGATTTCAACATGTAAAAAAGAACAATTTAAAACAATCTTGTACTCTAAACATAAAAATACATCTGATTCAGTATTACCAACTGATCAGGCTACATAATTACTCTCAATTTAATCAGTACAATCCACTCATTAGGGTTCATAGTTTCATAAAGTAAAAAAGTGCTCATTAAAACACCATGTGAAGGTGAGAATGGGACTCTGGAAAGTAATCTTAACCAATCATCTGTGAAGGTACAGTAACAAACCTTCCCATTGTGAAAAAATGACAGACACAGTCTCCATATACAAAAATGATGCTACAGAAAAACTTCAAGCGTTAATGCTCATTGTTCTACATGCCATTAACACATAAGCAAATCAATGATTCAGTATTATTTCTTTGGGTTTCAAAACTTCGACTTTGACTTTAGATGAAACAACCTATAATGAAAACAATTTTCCTCCTCATCGGTGTTATGTTGAAACAATTTTATTGTCAGCTTTCTTAAAGTTAGTTTCCAAGAACCATAGGAATGTTAAGTGAGGACTTATATTTGCATGAAACAAGATAAACTGCAGACTATTTTCTATGACAAATTACAAATTGGGAAATCTGGATTACTGAGATATTATACAAATGCTTTCTTTAAATAGGTCTCAGTGTTTTACATGACCTCTACCTATCCCCAAACCCACTTTTGTAGTCTGGCTAACTCATCCTTTGAGATTCAGATCAATTCTATTTTGGAGAAGCTTTCTTGGACTGCTACACCAGAGTTAGCTGCCCTCTGTGATTCCACAGCACTACATACATGGTTTTCTTAAAGCAACTACAATTCTGTATTGTTATTATGTGGTTTCCTTCATTAATAGCTCCAAACATGTATTATTGAGCTATATGAACACCCAGGATTCAGCACAGTAGTAGGTAGTCTGTAATTGTTGGAAAAATGAATGAATGTATTCTTACGTATTTAACAAACCAAAGAGCAGAATTTCATTTTAAGGGGCTTAAAAAAAGAAAAAAAAAAAATTCCTATTTCTTTGAAATTTAGTTTGTAGGAAGACTATTAGGACAATGTTAGGAAAATAAATTTACTTGCTTACAAAAAATAAGCATCTAGAGATCCCTGTATAAACTGCTAGGAGAAAGAAAGATTTTTTACAATAGATATTTTCCTGGCACTTGTTTTACACAGTTGATCTCTGAATACTCTGTGTGAGTCCACTTATACTTGAATTTGTTTCTGCCTCTGCCACCCCCAGACAGTAAGACAATCCCTACTTTCCAGTCCACTCAACATGAAGACTATGAGGATGAAGACCTTTATGATGATCCACTTCTAATTAATGAACAGTAAATTATTTTCTCTTCCTTATAATTTTCTTGATAACATTTCCTTTTCTTTATTGTAGGAATACAGGATATAAGACATGTCACACCCAAAATATATGTTAGCTGATAATTATGTTATCAGTAAGGCTTCCAGTTAACAGATTATTAGTAGTTAAGTTTTTGGGGATTTGAAAGTTATATGCAAACTTTCGACTACCTAAAGAACCAGCACCCCTAACCCCCACATTGCTCAAGGGTCAACTGTACCTTCTATTAACGTTAACAAAACTGACAGGCATTTCAAAATATCTTGAACACTTTTAAGGTTTTTTCCCTTGGTGTTCTACACTTCTCTATCTAGTAACAAACTACGGGCATTGATCGACTTACGACCTGTGCAACTTATGACCATTCGACTTTATGACCACAATCGCTAGCCACGACTGCTCCGCGTCTGGCAGTGCAAACGTTGCCCAGCTGGGCGTACGACAGTGCGGACCAGCTTCCGGCAGCACTACCATCTCCGCGTGCATATAGCCTACTCAACTTACGACCAAATCATATTACAACTGGTCTGTCGGAACCAATCGTGGTCGTAAGTCGAGCACTAGCTGTATAGAAATAATCTCTGAAAATGTAGTCTTAAAATTAGGTTTTTGATAAAGGATATTCCCTTGGTTACAATTTCAAAGGCTGGAGGGAGCTATAAAATATGACAGACTTTCACTTTGGCCAGAGGTTTCGCAAGATAACCTACCCATAAGAAATATCTTCTATTAAACCACTGGGCCGACATATGGAAAATCATAAACTTTGACATCTCTTTTCTCCTATACAGACTCCTTGAACCAAATTTTTCTCTGTGCAGTCTTCAAACTTTACTGAATCCTGGAAGTGGCTCAAAAATAATATACATTGTATGTACTTAGTTAAGCCCGATGTATTTCCCAAAGCCAAAAGAAATCATGCAGAACAGGAAAATGGAATCCAAGTGTATTCAATCCTTCTTACTTAGCACACATAAAAATGGCATTATTTTCACAGAAAAGATAAAAATACACACCATCTGATGCTTACCTTTCCTGCACCCATAAGTCTCAAGAACTTTTGTTTTCTCTCTTCATTACCCAAGTCTGCTGCCTCCCAATTGCTAGATCCCAGCTAGAAAAGAAATTGGTTGATTAATTTTTTTTGCATAAGTGTTACAAAATCTAAAGTCTACCTGTAATTCCCAAGTTTTTTTCCCCTGTCAGTTTTAACTATAAACAGGGTTTATTTTTTTTGCTTAGTTAAGCATATGCATCACATTCAAATTTACTCCTTTTCTATTAACTCACAGCAGAATCCTTTCGTTCTTTTGCAGCCAGAGCTGAGTCTCAAAAGTTTGCCTGTATTAGAGTCACCTAGAGGGCTTGTTAAAACAGACTGCCGGGCTACAGCCCAAGAGATTCAGCCCAGTCTGGAGTGGGGCTCTAGGATTTGAATTTCAACAAATTCCTAAATGATTGCTGATGCTGTTGATCTGGGTACCACACTTTAAGACCCACTGCCCTGGAGCCTTGCAGGGTCCTAGAGCACCTAGTACTCTGAACTTAGATGGCAGCCAGAGTTGTTACTTGATGTTAAAAATTCTGGCTTTATCAGTTTGCTAACTTTTAACTTAAGAAAGAAAATTTTAACTTTTCAGTTTCTTTTTTGAGCAGTTCTAGTTGTTAGGATTTAGATGACATTATTTTTATTCTTTCTTAAAAGTCTTCCAAAGAATAAAGGGAAAACTCATTTATTTATTTTTGAGACGGAGTTTCACTCCTGTTGCCCAGGCTGGAGTGCAATAGCGCGATCTGGCTCACTGCAACCTCCACCACCCGGGTTCAAGCGAATCTTCTGCCTCAGCCTCCTAAGTAGCTAGGATTACAAGTATGCACCACCACGCCCAGCTAATTTTGTATTTTTAGTAGTGACAGGGTTTCTCCATGCTGGTCAGGCTGGTCTCGAACTCCCGACCTCAGGTGATTTGCCTGCCTCGGCCTCCCAAAGTGCTGGGATTATAGGTGTGAGCCACCACACCTGGCTACTTATTTTTAAAAGAATAGACCCAAACTGATTCTATCTTGCAATTATCAAATGGGTCCACTGAACTCTTTTATAAGTCTAAGAAATATGATGGAATCCTAGTGATCATATTTTTCTCTACATCTTGAAACAAATGTAAAAACTGTTTCATTATCATTCATTATTCCCAACGATGCTAAAAATAACTAAAATAATTTAAAAAAGTTATCTCACTGTATTGTCCAAAGTATTTCATCACCATCTTTCAAGACATACCTCTGTTGTCTACTTATAGCTTTCACTGAACACAGATGGGAATTCACAGTTTTTCATTTTCCATTCATAATGGCAAAGAAAAAAACTGACAGAAGGCATTAATCATTATTAAACGAAGATGAAAGTGAATGCAAAATGACAGGCAGTTGTATTCTAGACTAATGATGATGATAAAATTAACTGTGCAAAAATCTCAGACTATGAATTTTTGGATAAGGATTACTAGAAGGCTTTTTTCCCCACCCAAGAATCAACAAGGAAAAGAAAAACAAACAAACAAAGATATGTACTCTCACTGGGAGAGCCATTGGCAGGAAAGACTTCATCTTGCAATATTTTGCAGTAACAGCCAGGATGATCCCATTTTGTAAAAGGAGGTGTGACTGTTTCATCTCATCTTTTACCATTTTTATGCATCAAAATTTACTTGATTTGGTTGCAAATGGACAAAGAGTGAAGACAGGTATATATACAAGGTGACTGGAAGGAAAAATGAAATAAAAATATTAATATTCACTGAATTTATCATTCTAATTAAGTTTATAATCTAAAAATAAAAATGTTTTGCAATTATGGAGCAAGGATGACAAATCATTCTTCAACACAAAACATAGGCAATAGAAGGTTGCAAAAAGTCTTCAGGTATTCTATTTTGATGATGCAAATGCAACCCAGGTTTGAACTTCAAGGGTCCCTTATAATTTGGTTTTTTTCAACCAAATGCAGATCCATCTCAAGTATATGGAAGGCTGATTTTTCCTATTCTTGGGTTTGACAGGGCTGGCTGCAGGACTTGAGTATGCAAGATTTGCCAAGGAGGTGGGTGGGTCCTAAAACTAATCTCCCATATTTAGTATGCTGAAGGAAGACTGTATATGCCACCAAAATCAAGAAAACATAGTTTATAAATTTGAATTTGCTATTGTTAAATTTACATTAAAATTCCTAATAAAGTTGTTTTGCATTATCCCCTGTTATTCTTATTTCTAAAAATTATTTGTAAAAGACTAAAAGAATATTTAAAAAACACTAATTCTCCTGGGCATATGACAGTTAAAGCATTTATACCAATCTGGACTCATTTGTGCTTCTAAATTCTCATTAGTGGAAGGGCTTATATGCTCTCATAATTTTGGCTTCCTAAGTTCCAAATCTCTACTTCTTTTCATGTGACCCTTGATATATTATTATAGGCCATTTAGTTCCTACCTATTTCTGGCTCAATATAGTTAAAGTAATAGTGAAGCTTCAGTTTTGATTCTGTGAGCCAGGATCTGACATTTAATTTTAACTTCTTATCTATAAAGAGAGGCATCTTTAAAAGAGTATCTTAAGACACCAGGGCACAGAGAGGCTATGTGACTTGCTTCAATCCTCTGACCATCCTCTGTTTTTTCCACATCATATTCTCCATGATCAAATGAGACAGAATACTGAAAGTGGTCTATGAACTAACTACTGTTATAAAAATGTAGAGAATTACATTAAAAAAAATCATCTAAAAACCAATTTTCTTGATTCTGTTTCTATTAAAAGAGCAAAACATCTTCGGTGTTTATATAAATAACCCTGTCATCTACAACTTCTAATCCCAATGTTTTAAGAAAATATTAAGTCCTGTCAGTTCTTCTTTTCAAAGTCCTTAAAGTAGCAGTCCCCAACTTTTTGGCATCAGGGACTGGTTTTGTGGAAGACAATTTTCCACAGAGGAGGTGGTTTTGGGATGATTCAAGTGCATCACATTTATTGGGCACTTTATTTCTATTATTAGTACATTGTAATAGATAATGAAATAATTATAAAACTCACCATAATGTAGACTCAGTGGAAGCCCTGAGCTTCTTTTCATACAACTAGGCAGTCCTATCTAGCGGTAATGGGAGACAGTGACAGGTCACCAGGCATTAGATTCTCACAGGGAGTGTGCAACCTAGATCACTTGCATGTGCAGTTCACAACAGGGTTCACGCTCCTATGAGACTCTAATGCTGACAGGAGGCAGAGCTCAGGAGGTAACGCAAGCCATGGGGAGCAGCTGTAAATACAGATGAAGCTTTGCTGGCTGGCCCAAAGCTTACCTTCTGCTGTGCAGCCTGGTTCTGTGGCCCAGGAGCTGGGGACTCCTGCCTTAAAGTACAACAGCGAGTACTTTGCCCAAATGCTGCATTCTGAAAAGCATGTTAATGCCCTACACAATTTAAGAGAGATTCCTTAGTACCTCTCCTAACCTCCCCACTCCTCCCACTCCCTATAAGATAGCTTTCATTTCTCCACTCCAAGCCAATGAAACTACTTTTAGGTTGTCTTCATCCTTAATACCCTTTACTACAGACCTGCAATTAACTTATCAATACATATCCTAGTGACTCTTAGAATTTACTCGTACATTGTCAGCATTTTTCTAGATTTGTATTTTGTGATTTAGTATCGAGTTTTAATATTAAAAAAAAAAAAAAAGTTTTGTTATCCCAATTAGATGTGAGGTCAATGGGCGTAAGAAAACTTCAATGATCTCTTACATACTATGGATACTTATTAGAAACTCTGGCCCAACTACATATTATGGCTAGCTGATTTTCTATAACAACTTGGAGGTATTTTAATGAATGTATTACATATGGTTTAAAAAAATTTTTTTTTTAAAAAGTACTGGCTGAGCGAGGTGGCTCACACCTGTAATCCTAGCACTTTGGGAGGCCGAAGTGGGCAGATCGCTTGAGTCTAGTAGTTGGAAAGCAGCCTGGGCAACGTGGCAAAACCTGGTCTCTACTAAAAACACAAAAAAATTAGTCAGATGTAGTGGCTTGCAGCTGTAGTCCCACCTACTGCGGTGGTGGTGGGGGGAGAGGGGGTTGAAGCAGGAGGATCCCTTGAGCCAGGGAGGTGGAGGCTGCAAGCAGCACTGATCATGCCACTGGCCTCCAGCCTGGGAAAAAGAGTGAGCCCCTGTCTCAAAACAAAAACAAAACACAAGTACTTAAAGATAGGCTTATATGATCATGAAAGGTCTTAAAGGTCATCTAGTTTAAACTGATCTTTTCAGAACTGTAAACTTAATGACTTAATCTCTTTACCTTTCTGTTAAATTGCGTATCACCTGGGGTCTCCTGTCATGCTAAAACATTTCTGAGGGTAGCAAAACAGGTGTCTGACATCCTAGCAATCAAGTCACAGTTACAAATCAGGAGGAAAACAAGGTAACAGCTTTTTAAATGGCAGCCAGGTTACTCAAAAGCATGAATCAATTCCTGAGAAAACGTGAATTACCATATTAACAAGATCTAAAAGCCAGCAGCAGAAAGAACAGAGAGCACCAATAAACTTCTCTAGATGCCCATTCATCCCCAAATCTTCACTGACTGCTAATCTTTCTGCAGAGCTAAAGTCGATTCCTTTAAAGACCCTTACTATTCCGGTCCTCACCCCACCTCCCACTCAGAGGGGTAGGTTTTAACACCATCTCATTCGCTACCAAGTATTGTTCAGTGAGCCTTTAAAATTTTATGAAAAGCATTGAAATGCACTATAGAAAAATTTAAAGCTTTATGTATTCAGAAATTAACAGTACTTTAAACAAAACTGAAAAACTCCTAGATATTCCTTCATCATCCTTAACGATGACCTCACCGCGCCCTCTCCAACAATTTCTCCATGAACGTTCCAAAGACACTTATCCACTGTATGAAGGACGTAGTTTTACGTTTACTGGTTACCTGATGTTTCCATGACACTGCGCTAGGCCAAATATACAAAAAGGCCTAAAATAAGCATCATATTTATCTCCGAATTCCCAACACCTGTCACTGCAGTAAATGTTGAATGGGTTAGTTTAAGGGATAAACCGTTTGCTATTAAAACCGGTAAGGTGGGGGCTGGGGAAGGAAACTGCGTTTGATGGCGAGGAGAGGTAAGGAGAATGAGGTATTAATATCCGACATCAAAATGGGCTTCTAGGTCTCAACGTCTTAAATCTCACCACCACAGTCAGAACCAAATTACACCCGTGGCACAATTTTCGGCTCAATGTTGTTCTCGGTTTACCCTTACTAGTGCAGTTGACGTTAACTCTCAACGGCACATTGCAAAAATCATCCTGGCCGGAAAAATCCGTCCAAATGTGCACGAACATTTCGACACTGTCACAGGAATATTTAGAACCCAAAACAGGGAGCGTCTTGCCGTCTCTATCCTGAGTACAAACGCCGGAGAAAGCATCCTTATCGGTCCCTCAAAACGCACGTATGAAATCCCTTGACTAAGCTCTTTCACTCCTCGACCCTCTCATAATTTCCTTCCTCAATCCCCCTTCCTACGCAGGTCTCCGGCTCTCAGCTTATGGGCCTCCTAAAAACCTTCCGACTCTAATAACGATTAAGGGAGACATTGCCCACTCATTCTGGTTTCTCCCCTGGCCTCTCTCGCTGCCGGCCACCTCAGGCGCGTCCTCCTCCATCCACCCTTCCCGGCCTACTCAAGCCTTTAGTAGGCCTCAACCCTCAGCCACTCCGCCATTGTTATTTACATCGTCGTCTGGGGAGGCTGAACGCTTCACCCCGTGCGGGTGAGACTCTCTGGCAGCACTCATGCTTGCGGGGATCCCGACGAGAAACGTGGAACCCTCTCGCCGCTCTCCTCAGCCGCAACACCAGCAGCGTGCAATCCGCCACCGGCCCAAGCAGTGCCACTCCAGAACGCAGAGCCCCTCCAAGGCTTCTCTACCACAGTCGTCACCGTTGTGGCCGGTCGCCGCCCCGGGGCACTTTGGGAGCTGTAGTTTTCTGATTCACTGCATACTGGCCCGAATAAAAAAGACGTATGGGGACAAAAACTACAATTCCCAGAAAGCCCAGAGGCTCAATTCGCGCTGTGTGGCGGGAGTGCCCTCGGAGGCCCCTCCTTTTTCGACTGGAGGAGGGAGCGTTCCCGCGGATGGGGGTATGGCGGTGAGCGTTGGCTAAGAGCTTCGTGCCACAGAAGGACGCTTAGAGAGGTTTTCTCTTTTCACCGTGCGACGCTGCCTTATTGGCAAATGCATCATCGTAGCTAAGCACCTGTGTTTAAATGTAATGCTTGAGACTTACTGAATCCTCACGAATACCCTCCACCCAGGACAAAAACCTTAACAAAAAATGGCTTCTACCATTTCCACCCTGGTGTTAGTTTTCTATTGCCCGCAGGGGATTTCTAGGTGGCCGGCGATGCTGCTTTCTAAAGGTTCTGATGTATATTTCGCTATTTTCCCATACTCACAGAAATGAATTCAGTATGTTGTTAAATGGTGGCTAATTGGCGGTTATTGAAAACGGAGTTTCAGCTGAGGGAAATCTGTACGTTTTCATATGGCTTTGTGTCAGGTGGGAGTGCTTCTCGCTGACCTCGCTGCGGGTGTCTAGGCACCGTACTGTAGGGGTCTTCACCAAGCAAAGTCCATCCCTGGCACAAAAACCTCTATGTTTTTTTTTTTTCCTTCTTTTTAAAAGTAATTGTTGAGGTGAAATTCACATAAAAATAACCATCTTAAAGTGTACAATCCAGTGGCATTTGGTACATTCACAATCTTGTGCAGTTTTCGCCTCTATCTGATTCCAAGACGTTTCATCACTCCAAAAGGAGCCCCGATGCCCATTAGTAATCCCTCCTTATTTCTTGTCCTGTTCCCAGCCTCTAGTGATCACTCATCTACTCAGAAAGCCCTGCATTTAAAGGTGTTTATTGTTCAGATACTGGAGACTATTTCCTGTATTAAGGTGTCTGAATTTGTAACCAGATCTGAACCTTTCTGTCAGAATCCTTGTCCTTGCTAATTCTGAAGCTTTCTTACCTTAACCACACGTGATTTTTTTTTTTTTTTTAAAGCAAAAACCGGTTAGGCCGGGCATGGTAGTTCATGCTTGTAATCCCAGCATTTCGGGAGGCCAAAGTGGGTGGATCACGAGGTCGGGAGTTCGAATCCAGGCAGACTAACATGGTGAAACCCTGTCTCTACTAAAAATACAAAAATTAGCCCAGCATGGTGGCCTTCGCCTTTAATACCAGCTACTCAGGAGGCTGAGGCAGGAGAATCATTTGAACCCAGGAAGTGGAGGTTGCAGTGAACTGAGGTTATCTGATGATTATGCTGTGTAAAAAAAAAAAAAAAAAAAAAAATCTGCTGTTTTACTTGACACTTAAAAAAATTCCTGGGGCAGAGATCATGCCACTGCACTCCAGCCTGGGTGACAGAGCGAGACTCTGACAGAAAAAAAAAAAAAAATCAGTTAAGTAATATGGATAATATGTATCTAGTGTTTTGGAACTGAAAGCAGTCTGTGAAACAATGCTTAACTTTTAGCTTTTGAACTCAGCAATTGTTCTAGTTTGACTGCCTGTGTACAAATACTACTTTCCTAGATTTCAAATGATCACTGAACCATTGATAGAACTGTGACCAGTGGAAGGTAACTTTTTAATTTATGCAGTCATAGATCCAAATTCTTCTTTATTTTGGAAGCAGAGAAATAGTGTAATAATAAGTGGTAAAATAGAAAAAAAGATGTCAGGGTCATCTTTTTAAAGTATAGCCAAACAAAAAACATCTTAATCTATTAGTTCTATGGTAAGCATAAATCATAAATAAAGGAGGAGGAGAGTAACCCAAGAGAAAAAATAAAAGCATTATTTTAGGAAGTGGTTGCTTGCTTTTTGCTAGATTTAAAATATTTTCACTAATAACTCCATGATTCTACTTAGGTTCTATTAATTCCAATGAAATTACATTTAAGTTACAGAGTTTGGCAATTTCGACTACAGTTCACCTCTATTGGTTTTGACAAATGGTGATTTAGCTATATTACCAATAAACAAACAAGATAGCTGAATAGGTACTTTAGACTGCTAAAAGAATTCTGAAATAAGAAAGGACTATCAATAAGAATAGTAGTTACTATATAATTTAAATTTTACTAATTGGTGAAAGTCCAGAAAACTTTAATGAGCTAGCAATATGTCTTTTATTTTTTCACCAGAATTATTGGCACCTGGATGGCTCTTCAAGTTACTGTAAAACAAGATCACTAACCAAAATAACATAGGAAATACTAAAGATTGGAACAGTTTATCAGATTTTACTCAGTGTCATATACAGAAGGCTCTAGGTAAGGATGAAATTATATAGTATAATAGTATGCATGTATGCCACAGAAACTCAGTAATGCTCTTCTTGTGTTGTAATAACAAAGATACACTATCACGAGTAAAACAGTGAAATACCTTCTTTAGGATTGGGACTGTTGCATCTCCATTTTTGTTTCTGGCACAATGCCTGTCACAGGGTAGTTAACAAGTGTTTCTGAATTAATATAGGAAGGATTAAATTATATAGTATCAGAGTGGTATCATATATGAGGCTCAGAAACTCAGCAGTGTTCTTCTTTCTTGGGTAGTAAAGACAAGGAGAGGAGGCCCTATCACTAAGAACTTTGCATTTTGTTTTTAATCTTCCCAACACTTAGCATGTAGTGGACATAGATGTTTGTTGAGTACATTTTTTCAACCAGGGGTAGTCATAATTGAGCATAGTTAAACTTGAAGAGGAAATAAAACCATTGACAATTATGCTGTGTACAAAAAAAAATCTGCTGTTTTACTTGGGACTTAAAAAAAATTCCTAGTGTCATAATTACAGTTACCATTTATTAAATACCCACCATGTACTGTATACTTTGTTAGATGCTTTTTATAGGTGATTTTTAGAATTGACCTCAAAGTTTTACAATAATTTGCAAGAAATAGGTAATTTTATAGGTAATTAACCTTAAGAAAAGTTAAATACTTGCTTAAGTAATCTAGCTAGTGAGTGATTCAGTCCTTAAGTCTATCTCATTCCAAAAGCCAATGCACTTTCCACAGTGCCAATATAACCCAACGTTAAATAAGATGCTTCATATATGTCGGGAAGTATGCCAAGTTTGAGGAAAACCAGAGTAAATAATGCGTAACCTTTTACTGCAAGGAGTTTATAGCTTGGCAGGAGAATGATTAAATGGCATCAGTAAATTACGAATGAAATGCTGTGGAAATAGTTCATTTTGGCTAAGGGAAATGGGAAAATTATTCCCCAGAAGTTTTTGAGCTAGGCCTTGAAAAAGAGTGGGGGTAGGATATGGCATATAGTCAGTAATGGTTAGTGTCCAGTGTGCTGAAACCTGATAAGCCTGAAAGTATTGTATTCTGAGACAAAATCCTATAGGCTGATCAAAGCCAGGCTATGAAAAGCCTTGAGTTTGAATCTCTCACTGCATGTGTTCAGATTAAGTAATCTCTTTCATAGATTTATGTGAGCTATTTTCTAATACTTCCTCATTTAAATTCATTTTATACATTCCAGCCAGATTCTGTCCCTGAAAATGGAATGTACAGATTCTCCTGCTCAAAAACTTCTTTCAGTTCCCGTTTTATATGGAATTAAGTTGATAGAATGAATCCTATAATTAAAATAAGAATTCAGTTCTTGAGATCAGAATAAGATCGATATTCTGATCTCAATAATCCATTCCAGTCTTATTTTCTATTATCTTTTCCTTATCTTGATTAGTCTGCCACAACAAAAATATGTGCTGTAATAAAGGTATTGAACAAAGATACCAGTCTTGTTGTGTGTCCTAGGCTCTCAGCTGCTTTTGGGTAGGTTCTAAGCTTAGCACTATGACATGTATAAACTATCACTCAATAGACATTTGCTGTTTTAATATATGAATGCGTGAGATCAGAGAGTAACATTATGTGTTTGATTTTAGACATGTTAAAGTATTAGTAGGACACCAGTGGAACAATTAAAAATATGAGCTTCAAAATTAGGAGAGAGCAATAAACTTGGAAATCACCTATCTAGAGGTGATGAATCAATAAGAAGAGTAATTGAGCTTGCCTAGTGAGTACCTAGAAGAAAAGAAGAAGAAGAACAAGAAGAAGGAGAAGGAGAAGGAGAAGATTTAAGTATAGAATGAGGAAGAAGAGCCAGAAGGGGAAGAGGAAGAAGGAGAAGGAGAAGGAGAATAAGGAGGAGGAGAAGGAGGAGAAGAAGATTTTGGATAGAATGAGGAAGAAGAGCCTGATGTTAGAAGGTAGACATAGAAGAAGAAAAAGAAGAGGAAGAAGAGAAGAAGATGATGATTTAAGGATAGAATAAGGAAGAACAAGGAGAAGAAGAAGAAGAAGAGGAAGAGGAGAAAGGAGGAAGAAGAGGAGGAGAAGAAGAAGATTTAAGGATAGAATGAGGAAGAAGAGCCTGAGGTTAGAAGGCAGATAGACATAGAACTAGAACAAGGAGAGGTTAGTGTCAGTGAAGCCAAAAGAAAAATGTGAAAAATGCATTATTCCACTGTGGTGGACTATGAGATGAAGCCCATTTAGAAGCTGATTTTAAAGACATAATATAAATGCAACTCTAGGGCCTAACACAGATTCCTGAAGACAAGGTATAAATAAATACATGTTTGTGGTTGATGATGGTTGATAATTGGATAACTCTCATTCTGTCCATTGGGCAGGCAGATTTGCCACAGTGCTACTGTGATTTAAAATGTGGCAATATAAATATTAACTTGATTACTTTACACGTACCACATACCTAAAAACTTACACAAAAAGGAATAAAAAGGGAAATGAAAAAAGTGTTACTTAAAATTGCTTCAATAAAATTGTTGTTGATGTATATCTTATTTTTTTTTTTATTATACTTTAAGTTCTGGAATACATGTGCAGAATGTGCAGGTTTGTTACACAGGTATACATGTGCCATGGTGGTTTGCTACACCCATCAACCTGTCATCTACATTAGGTATTTCTCCTAATGCTATCTTTCCCCTAGACCCCCATGTCCCAACAGATCCTGGTATGTGATACTCCCCTCCCTGTGTCCATGTGTTCTCATTGTTCAACTACCACTTATGAGCGAGAACATGTGGTATTTGGTTTTCTGTTCT